TCCAACTAAGACAGTTCGCGAGCTGTCGCAACTCGCAGCCAAATCCAAAGCTGAAAGGCGCTGCATTTCCTCCAATTTCCTGCGTCTCCCTCACCGATCCGCCATTTGCACCACATTTGCCGGAATAATCAGCCCGCTGGAAGGTGGCGCCAGTGACCCTGGTGACCTTTGGCAGGTCCCCGGGCCACCGCGCGTCGCCAGCTCCCTCCCACTCAGACGATACGCTCACGGGCGCCGAGTCGTTGTGTCAGCGTCGTCGGCGGCGGCGCGACATTCCTGGCGCTCCGCGGCGGTGACGCACCCGTCGGCGTCGACGTCGTGTGGGCCGCGCCGCGTCGCTCCCGGCGGTCGGCGCCTGGGCCGCGCCGAAATAGCCACACTGGCGACGGCCCGGCGGAGGGGAGGGGACGCTAGAAACGTGACCGTGACGTGGCCGGCCCCAGTTCGTGTGACGGTGATTCGGGCCGTCAGTTGATCCATCACGGTGACCAAAGCGAGCGCATTGAGCGCGCGCGCCGCTGCGGCAGTCCGCGTCCCTCTGTGGAGCATCTGGGTGTGGCGCAGCCGGCGCCGCCGCCTCAAACCGCGCTGTCATAGCGCACGGGCGCGGCGCGCGCTACTGAAAGGTTTCATTAGAGCTCCAGGGCGGTCCGGGCCGCTCCGTCAGGCACCGCCAATTTGTCCGCTGGCTGCTTTGTGCGCCTCCGTGGCTCGCGGACAGGACAATCGGAGCCGATAACATCAACGGACGCCCTGTGGGGCCTCCCATCGGCGCTCTCAGGCCGCCCTGTAAGGCCTCCTCCCAGCTCCCATGCAGGCCGCCCCTAGACCCGGGCGCCCTCTCAGGTCAGCTACGGAGCCACGCCGGCGCCGCCGACGGGCGGTGTCGTCTGACAAAATGGGTCGCGTGGGGGCACCGCGTGCCATCACGGATCAGCGAAGAGGCTCCCCATCCCCAGAGGCCCCTGCTGGCGCCACGAACGCCTCCGTGAATCTCGGGATAGCCGGCGCCTGTCAAAGGACCGGCGCGCTCGCATTAACCAGGGCGGACCGCCCTGGTTACCGCTGCCGAAACCCAGTGATTTGCTCCGTAACGACGGCGATCCCTCGTGGGTCGTGTGAGTTGGGATCGGGAGGGCACGGCCGTGACAGTGATGGCGCGCGGTCGCCTCTCTGTGCAGGCTCGGCACCGGAGCGATGGCGGCTAGTCGGTGACGGTGAAGGATGTCCAATGTCCATCCTCGATAGCCTCCTTGACGGACTGTCCGCCGACACCGAGCGGTCGACCCCGCGGCTGATACCGCTGGACAGGTCAGGTCCTCCAGTGTCTGGATATCGGTCGTCAGAAAATGTACCGGAGACTGCTCGCCACTTCACAGCGGAGCGCCAAACATGGTAACTTAGCTAGGATGCGATCGTTCGTAACACACTGAGTTGAATTCATGCCGCATTTATTCGTCGTGCCGTTTCAATACAGAAGCGACAGGAGCTGCATCAGCTCTCAGCTGAACAGTGACAGCAGCTATAAACCGTGCGACACCACGTTCCAATCAACCAATCACCCAGCCTCCCCACCGCTCCTGATCACCTGAACAGACCCGATCAGTCTGACCTGACCTGCGCGGCCACTAATGACCGACCCGACCGGCCCCGGCGGCACCCTATCGGCGCCGATCGGCCGGGCGCGTGCAGTCGAGAGCGGCGCGGCGCCACGAGCCGGCCGGCCGCGTGCTCTATGGACGGCAGGCGCTGATAACGGTGGCCCCGAGCGGCGGCAACCCGATCCCAGGATAAAGGGCTCGCCAGCGCGCCGCTGACGAGGTCGTGAGCATCCTTTCAGCGGATTAAATCGGCACGAGCCGTGGCTAGCGGTTAGTTCATTATGACAGGGCATGAGTGGTTTCACTGCATGAGTCGTACAAGGAGATATTTCTCTCGTTTTTTTTTTTAGTTTGTCTAAATGATATCTCGCAGTCATGAGCGCAATCAACATTTTTAGAGATCTAGTGCAGTGACCCATAAGTGGTAGCATTACGCTTAATTGAACAATTATACCGCTATGTTATTTATTCCGATTTCATTCTGATGAAATAATATCCTGCAGTGTTTATGGCTCCCATTATACGGCGCACGTCTGACATGAGGCGCCGGGCCGGCGGAGGAGCCCCGTCCACTCTGAGGAGCCCGGTGGAGGAGGACCCGGTCCACTCTGGGTGCTGTCGGCCCCAGCGGCCTCCGCAGCGACCTTGCGGTGCCGTCTGGGTCACCAGGTCATCGGTCGTGTCGCGCCGGCGTTGACACGCTGCCGACGGCCTCATAAGGAGCACAGTGCCGCGTCGAGACGCCCCGCCGGAGACAGAGACCGGTAGGCGCCGGTGGGAACCGGAAAGGACCCTGAAGGACCCTGGAGGACCTGATGTAGCCCGGAGACCGGTGAGCCGAGTGGTGCGCCCGGAGCCCGGAGACTGCCGAGTGCGCTGCTACCATGACTTCTGACCGAATCGTCATGCATTCTGGTTTCGAACATAACGTTGAAGCCCAGCCTTCAGTCCACCACATGGGTTGTATCAGCGATGTAATGGTTACTTACTTTGTTTAATGTTTATACTCCGGACAGCTAGGCGCGGCATCTCTGTTTGATCAGGGAGGAGCTGACATTCGCCTCATACCGGCGCAGGTATTCAGACGCCATACACAATCAACAGCTCCGAGAACACGAGCCGGCCAGTAAAATACTATCACCCGTGATATTTCACGCCCGTCTGACTAAATGATAGCCGAGATCTATATGTGGCTCATCATAAATTTACACTAACGACCGGCTGGGCATCATGTGCAGCCCGATTTGGCGGCTTTCCATTCAGACAGCGCGTGCTGCCGGCGATTTCTCGTCACTTATGTTTACCGAGCATGACCGGGTGATACCTTTTCGGCCGGCTGGAGTTCGCATCAGACAGCCGCTACCGATGGGATTTCCTATAGGGGGTGGCCGATCAGATGTCCCTGCCCGTCCCTCCTCCCATCGGAGCCGCCAGGGGCCTCGGAGGCAGCGGACCATGACGAGAGGTCAGTTTATGAGCCGACGCGGCTGTTAACTACATAGCTTTGTTGGGCGCCAGGCGGCAGGTCACGTAATAAACAGGTCCGGGCGCCTATAATTGTCCGATGACAGCTTTAGTGTCCGGCACAGCTCATTCGCATTCCTGCCGCTCTCGGCGTGGCGCGGCCGGCGCGCCGGTCAGCCCGCTCGTGGTTCACGAGTTCGCTGGGTCCCGCCCCACGCCCCGGACACAGCTCACGAATCACGAGCGCCCCGGCGTCCCGAACAGAGCGCGGTCGTGACCGGCGCCCCAGGGACGTGGTCGACCGGGCGGGGTCCGGCCCGGCCCCTGACTCAGCCGTCCGCTGCGGCCCGGCCCCCGGCCTCACGGGACGGTACGGGTCGACCGGGCTGCCCCCGTGACCCAGCTGACCTCAGCCACTCGGTACCGCCCCCACGGCACGCCGGGGTCATCGGTACGACCGACCGGGGACGCGACCGGTCCGCTGGAGCTGGGGATGGCGCCGGCGTGACAGACTTTCATCCCTCGGGGTCCAAACGACTGGTAACATGCGGTAACCGAGGTAAAAAGCTGGTCGTGAGAATACACAAGCGCATCCGAGAGCCGTGACGGTCGCGAGGGAGATTTTCATGGGAACTGTCCAGCTGATGTTTGAAAAGCAAACACGATAAAAATCGTGGGCGTCATTACGCTGTCATTTGGACCATTCGAGCACCGCTTATTGATAACCTGGAGCAGATTAAGTTACATTTCATTTCCAGCAATAAAGAAAGCCCGACGCTACTTTCTGAATTATTTTATTCAACATTACAAGCAGCGTTTCTCAGAAACAACATACAAAAGTCAGCCGGCCGACCGTCAACCATCAGGTTTCCTATCTCCATCGTTCCTCTGCCTAAAAACGTCTGCTCCAGGCCCAGGAATGTCTCCATCCGCCGTCCCAGCGGCAGTCCTCGTCTGAAGAACATCCCCAGCGCCGTGCCATCAGCTGGGGTCGCCGGGTCACCGGGGCACACGCTGGGACAAAGGCCGGTTAAGTGGCGGCCCGCCGACCTGTCGTCACTGTCTCGCATGCCTCCGGTGACGGGGATGGGACACAATGGACCGGCCAGGACCACCACGAGTCTCCAGACAGTGGCGAGGACGCGTCAGTCGTCCACCGAGACGGGCGAATACACGACAGACAGGCCACATGGCGGCCACGGAGTGACGAGGTTACCTCATCTGGGTCGGACTTAAATGGGACACATATGTTTGTGTGTTGACTGTTGCGGAGCTAGATGGTAGTGCTATATGCAGCAATGGTGGGTGGACACTGGACAACCACCGGTTTGTATGCTTTTGTAAACGTTAGTCATATTTTCCATGTAGAGCATCGCGTGGTAATGAGCATTGCTGAAATCGTGATGTAAAATATCACGCAAGAAGGAAGCCTGAGTAATATTGTTGTTCATTTTCCCTTTATGGAGGAACACTGCTCAGTCAAGCATGCTTGGTCACACAGACGAGGAATCTTTCACATTTACGGACGTCACACTAGTTCAGGGTCGCCTCCAAACCGGCTTTGACAACTATTACCGCGTGTTACCGGGCCAATTGACTGTTGTCCAGTAACGGCCCATCCGAGCGTCTTACCTCGCCCGTCCTTCCTGCTCGGACAAAACTACACAACGCTCGCCACTGCATCGCGGCATAGTGCGGCGGCTGGACGGGCGGTGAGGCGCCTGGCACGGGCCCGCGATTTATTGGACTTGAATAGCGGATGATAGTGTCACTCGGCAAGTTGAGGAATGTCATCAGCCCCAGGGGTCCGATTGTTGTCACCCACATATAATACTTTCGACTGAGAATTGACACCTGCTGACGGTCGCAAACTGCGCCAAACGGCAGGCTCATCGAGCGAAGATTTAGTGCCGACGTAAGACTCCCGCTACTTACCTTCAGATCGAGATGCGCTATCCGCTTGGAGTGCATGTGCTCCAAACCGCTGAGAATCTGTTTGATGAAGAATGAAGCCTCTGCTTCGCTGAGTCGCTCCTTCTCCGTGACAAACTCGAAGAGCTCTCCGCCGCGGACGCTGCAAAACAAAAACGGGAGCGTCAATGGGGGCCGAACGCACATACCTACGTGTCACCATTCCACCAGTCAGTGGCTGACCAATTTCAAATGGAGCAGTAGCAGGCACGTGACACAAGACAGTAACGAATGTAAATTAGAGCGCTCGCTCAGCTGCAGATATTCGTATTCATCCCACGTCACAGCTGCGTGTGCACGTACACGATTACGTTAGACTCCATTTGACGTTCATGCCCGTGACCTGCTCTTGATTCACGCTTATAGAGTTGAGTGCCCAGCGCGGCGCTGAGACCCTTATCCGTTATTTCATTTCACGATGATAAAACCGCTGTGGCGCCGATTTCGGCCGCGATAAGTCGTCGCCTGGTTACGGGGCCACTTCACACCCAGCGGTGGCCGCCCTCGCCCTCTTCCTCTCCCTCCCCCTCCCTCGCCCGCCGCCGCCGACAGGTCGACCGTGCCGCGCCGGTGACCGCTGACCACTGACCACTGACCGCTGACCACCGCTGACCGGAGCGGACGTGCGGTCATCATGAACTGGATCAGTGCTCTCCTGACGTCGGCGGGAGCCCAGATGCCCGCCGGAGACAGGGCGCCGCCCCACTGAGTGATAGCCGAGAGCCGGCGCGCCGGCCGCATACTGACCGCGGCGGGCTAGCAGGAGAGCGTGCGGTGCTCTTAGAGCGCGCTGCATACCGCGGGGATGTAGTGCATGCAAGTACGAGGACCGTGTTCCGGTAGGGAGGGAGTAAATATAGACGCTGATGTCGAAGCAGAGCTGCTTACTGAGTGTTCTTGGTTAAATCGCTAGACTCGTTTCGCAAATTAGTTACTCTTGAATTTGAAGCAGAAAATCGTGACAGTAGTAAACGTCATTTTGCCATTTATTGCGCTAGTCGGCATCATTCTGGATCTAGATTCATTCGAAGGGCATGTTCACTAGCCACTCCAGTCTGCCTTGCATTCAGCTCAGGCTGCACCCGTTCATGCAGCGGCCCTGCCGGCCGGCCGTCGGGCCACACCCGGGTCGTATCGGCCAGCTCGGTAGCAATCGCGCCGCTGCGCCTACTGATTAATGTCGGCCTCTGTTCTGTATCGGCCAAACAACTTATCATTCGAGCCGGCCGCACAATACCCGCCCGCGCCGCGCTTAGAAGATCGGTAGGCACCGGCCCTCTGCAGGTGCAAGAAGTGAAGTGCTACCGGTGCCACTGCCACTAGCATCGTTCCGGCTGTGGAATTTCAAAACTATGTCAGAGATATAGTTATTTGCAAATCCATGGGAGGAGAAGTGAATACAAACGAACCTGTATTTCACAGATTATTTTTTTCTCAATGAATTTGATTTGATTCCGAGCGCGCAAAGGTAGACCTGCCTTCATGGATGAAGCCCAATGAAACGCTTTTTGATGACAAACTAATGACGAGTGGGCTGACGTGTTGCGACTGAAAAAGAGCGTTCAGTAGAAAAGTTTTACTTATGAAAGTATTTTGTTATGTTGCCATGTGCTTTAGAACTTGAAAGCTCTGTGGACTTTTTTGTCACACCATTTTAGAGAGCGAATTCCCCCACCCAGCGCCTGCACCTCCGACCTGGCGTGCGGTCGGGGGTTCCCGTGACCCGCGTGTCGTCCTCTCAAATCACCCGCCGATAAGGTCCATTTCGAGTGGCCCCTGGCAGATAGGGCATTGTTCTGTCTCGCTCGCTCCGATCAGCTCCCATGCCGCGGTGAGCAAACGAGGTCAGGCGACCCGTCCACCGCAACAGCCCTGTCGCTACAGAGAGACTGACGTGTCCCTGCGGGCTCACCCGAGGTCGCCGAGGGTCACGACAGGTCGACCGGGCAGGACCCCGGCCCGGCTCCCATGCCAGTCATCCAACCAATCGCTAATGATAATTGTTGGATCATGTAACGATGCGTTGCGCTAATACCGGTCATTAACGGTTGGTCGGACTCACGAGGCTGTCCGCACGCTGGCCGCAGCTGACGGGGATGGGGCACTGCTTCCACTGACGGCGGCAGCTTCAGCAAAGGACCGCAGGTCCAGGACAGCATCAGGCTGGATATTGGATAAGAACCGCTTGAATGACGCACCAGGGAAGCTTTGTTGACAGACTATATTGGCCAGTTTTACCGGCCTACACAGGGATGTCGAAAAGAGTTGGGTGCATTCCATCGGCTTCTCCAATGTCCGCACCTCTTGAAGTCCTCGCACTGTGATAAACATTGAGGATGCCCACATCTCAGACTGCAAAGTGCACAGCCCTTCACTGCACTTTCCATCACCTAGCGCTGTAGCTCGGGCGGCCCAAGCACACCGGCTCGACCCTCAGCAGCAAAGCGCGGCACCGAGCATCCCGGCTCACGTCCGCCTGCCGGAGGCGCTCCATTGGCGTCCGAGAGACACTAGGTCTGAACCTCAGATTGGCCAGAGCTTGGCCGTCAATAACCAGCTTATTTACATCCACAGTTGTAGTGACTTAGGGTTTGGAATTTGCCAAACCTAAGTTTTGATTACCAAGAGAAGTTTTGCTTCTTGCACTTGCCTTTTCTTCATAACTTTGGCGGAAATCGTCGTAGTGAAACTTCAGTGTTCCGTTAGCTGTCGGTTCTTGAGAGAGTTGGCCAGGCCGGACACCGGGGGCGGCTCCACAACTTTCGAAAAATCAAACCTAAGTCCTATTGCACTGCATGGAGAGCAATTCATTTAAAATCGCTCTTGTTCCCCCCCCCCCCCCCTCGACAACTTTGCAAACGTCTCTGCGCGATTTGGTTGAGAATAATGGCTTATGGCAAGTTATTGAATCAGAACGTCGATCACTGCAGGTCATATATCGGCAAGCAATTCTTCATAACTAGACACTGCACAAATGGAAACGATACAGGTTTGCCCAGTGATAAACACTCGCACTGCACAGACGCGCGCACTCCCGACCGAACGCGGCACGGCACAACGCAACTGGCGCCGGGAAGCCGGGAACGCTTAAGTGAAGGATTCACAGGTGCGCAACTTTATTGCGAACAATAAAAACCTAACGCAAACGATTAAAAAAAAAAGCTTTAGTGCAATCGGAAATACAAATGTAGTGACTTATAGAAATAAAATTGTCATTCACCTTCCAAATAACCCAACAATTTATTTGCCGTAAAAAGTGTCTGGAAATGGAAAGTTGCAAACATGATTCAGCAAGTAGGGAAACGCAGCAGCTACCTGGCGAATAATCTCAGGCTGGTTTAGTGACGAGTGCATTGCTACGGCTTGTTCCTCACCCTTCACAGATTACTATGACAAAACTACCCCTAGTATTTTGATCATCCTGAGCCTGGCTTTCACCTAATAATTTGATGAGGGTCTTCCTCGTTTCGGATTGAGGCGAAAACAAACGTCAAACAACCTTGATAGTTAATTCAGCACTTCAAAACAAAGGTACACCTAGGGTATCATTACAATACCGGATCATAACGATCTGGATAGTTATCAGCCTGTAAGCTAACTAAGCGGTAACTAGTCAAGTGGTAGGTACCGGAAGCATTGACAACCTGGTGACTGTTTCGAGACCCTTGTTTTGACACATAGCTCGTCAATATTTTTTACAGTGCGGTCAGCGCAAGGCCGCGCTGTGGAGCCGGCGGCCTCCGCGGCTGGCCCAGTGCAGGCGCTGCAGGTCCGAGTCGGTCTCCAAGCCGGTCCGAATGGGGCTGGATGGAACGGCTCATACGGGTCTGTGCTCTGCATGCTGCGATGCTGGAACAAGGATGGTAGATCTGATGCCGAGATTGGTTGTGTGGTTTGGTGTGTTGTCAAAACTGTCTATCTGTGAAGATAAAGTACAAACGAAGCAAACTGTCTGAAAATATCTGCCTGTTACGAAATTTGCCCGCAAACTTACAGCGCAGCTGAAGCCTGAAGAGCTGCAGCTGAAGAGCGTATCACTGGAAACGTAGCATATAGCGTCATGGTTTGCCAGCCTATCAGAGATTCCCGGGACAAAGAGCTGGCGCATCGCCCCAGCAGGCACGCTATATTTGTAAACTCCGTCGAAACGACCCGGTTCACGAAATCATGGCCCGACGTGAGCTCCTGGCAAGGCGCGGCTGGCCGACAGCCAGTTTCCGGTCATAGAGATCCGCGGACGGCCAGGTCAGGGGATCGGCCGGCTCCGCAGTCCGCAGGCTGATCTGCGCAGCCCGAGCCAAGGCTGGGTCAACAGGACCTCGGTGACCTCAGGACTCGGTCCTCTGAGAAGTGCTCTGGGTGAGCGATACTCCGTGACTGTGGACGGCATGGCGAAGAGCTGTGAGGTCAGCAGCGGCACCGGTGGCTAGGCGGCACCGACTGAATCCGTACCTACTGTTTATATCCACCGGTTTTACCCCGCGGCGTCCACTGCTCCCCCTGACCCGGCCCGGCGTCAGTCCACTGCCGGTCGCCAGGCAGGCCCAGAGCGCCGCTCGTGCCGCGCGGCAATCGCAGCGCGGTGATGGCGATCTCGGCGCGCTGGTGCGGCAATGCCGACGCGGACGTGCCGGGCCGGCGGCGACGGGGCGCCGCCTCCCGCCGGCCCGGCCCTGTCCGACTCCGTTGACTAATGCTTCGTGACGCGGCTCGGGCCCCATGACACGGTAGCCGCTGCAGTATGCACGGCCCGTACCCCATCAGGGCTGACCGGCGACCTCCGACCCCGCCCGGCCGGCTCAATGGTCGTCGATTGCGGCGCGGCGCATACGGCACACGGCGCTCCAGATTCGGCGGCGTGTCGTGGCGCGGCCGGGGCGCCAATTTCGCCGGCTGACAGACGCGGACAAAGCGGGTGGCCGATACGGGCGCCCGCTCCAGTCAGCCGCCCAGCCCCTCCCCCTGCGACCTTGCGCGGCACCGATCGAAATGGGTCGCCCCTCGACGATCGACCGGTGGGCCTCGTTGCGACTGGGTGACTCAGAATAGAGCTCTGCTCGCCGTATCACCCTCATTTGGCTGTTTGGAAGCTGTTTGGTCTAA